TATTCCCAGCCGGCTGTGATCTCATGAATTTTTAACCAGAGATTAAAATGTTAACTAAAGCTGGTGATATGGAGGATTATAAGTATCACTTAATCCTTAAATTAGGAATTTCCAAGTGAGCTCTTGATTATTATCCAATGAGCAACCACCCAAAGATTCTCAGGGCAAGCCTTCTCCACTGCATTGTGGGTAACAGACATTTTTTTAATGCACTAATTTTTTTATTTTAAATTTTTTTTCATTTTACATACCAACCCCAGTTCCCTCTTCCTCCCCTTCTCCCACCCCTCCACCCCATCCCAGCCCCGCATCCACTCCTCAGAGCAGGTAAGGCCTCCCTTGGGGAGTCAACAAAGTCTGACATACCAAGGTGAGGCAGGACCAAGCCCACCACCCCTGCATCAAGGTATTCCATCATAGGAAATGGGCTACAAAAAGTCAGTTCATACACCCAGGATCATTTCTGGACCCACTGTAAGAGCCCCCCAAACAGATCAAGCCACATAAATGTCACCCACATTCAGAAGGCCTAGTTTGGTCCCATGCAGTTTCTCCAGTTGAGAGTCCAGAGTCCGTGAGCTCCCACTAGCTGGGGTCAGCTGTCTCTGTGGGTTTCCCCATCATGATCTTGACTCCCTCTTGCTCATACGATCCCTCCTCCCTCTCTCCAACTGAAGAGCAGGAGATCAGCCCAGGGCTTGGCTATGATTTTGAATGTAGGTTCTATGTTGACAATTACGGTAGTCACTAATCTGATTATAGGGGAAAACCAGTTCAGGCACCTTCTCCACTATTGCTAGGAGTCTTAGCTGATGTCATCTTTGTGGATTCCTGGGAATTTCCCTGCCACCAGGTTTCTCCCTAACCCCCCTAATGGCTCCCTTTATCAAGATAGTTCTTTCATTGCTCTCCCTCTCTGTCCTTTCCCCCACTAGGCAATCTCAATCCCTGTGTGTTCCCTCCCCATCTCATCCCTTCTACCCCCTCCCTCCCAGTTCACCTAGGAGAGCCTAACTATTTCCTCTTCCGGGGTCCTCCTTGCATGTCCCTCTTAGGGTCCTCCTTTCTACCTGACTTCTCTGGAGCTGTGAACTGTAGTCTGGTTAGCCTTTGCTTTACAGTTAGTATCCACTTAGGAGTGAATACGTACCGTGTGTGTCTTTCTGGGTCTGGGTTACCTCACTCAGAATGATTTTTTTTCTAGTCCCATCCATTTGCTTGCAAATTTCATGATGTCATTGGTTTTTGTTTGTTTGGTTGTTGGTTGGTTGGGGTTTTTTTGGTTGTTTGGCTTTGTTTTGTTTCCCACTCAGGAATACTCCACTGTGTACGTGTTCCACGTTTTTGTTATCCAGACACAGTTTTTAGTGCATCTACCTGGGGATCTTTAAAAACAGTGAAACCAGGACTGGTAAGATGGCTCAGTTGGGAAAATGCTAGCCACACACACATGTAAGAACCTGATTTCTATTCCCAGAATCCTCCTTCAGAAAGCCAAACGTGCTACTCCTGTATCCCAGCACCAGGGAGGTAGAGCCAGGTAAATCCCCGAGGCTAACTAGTCAGCTAATTTACCATAATGAGTGAGCTCTCAGAGGGTTTGGAGCTCTGGAAAAGAGGAAGGAAGGAAAGGTAGGGGAGGTCCTAACATAACTACATTATAATCTCAAAAAAGAAATGAAAGTTTTTAAATTTTAAGAAAGGGAGACCCTGTCTCAAAAAATAAGGTGTTTCACTTGAGGAATAATACCTGAGGTTGACCTCTGCCCTTTACATACATAAGCACACACATACCCATGAACACACACACACACACACACACACACACACACACACACACTAAAATTGAAAACAGTAAAAGCAAAGCCAGTTCTTAGGAAGCTTGGCCTGGGGAAACCTGCAGGCCACCTGGTGAGTGTTCGCAGAGATTCTGAGGCCTCAGAGAAGCCTTGTGACTAAGGGTTTACAAAGAGCATTTTTAACAGAAAGGAAATAAGATTTTTAAAAAATCAAATTAGAAACCAGAACTCAACTTCTTTTGGAGACATAGCTCAAATCTGGAATTATTAGCTCTGATATGGAGGGAAAGCGAGCACAACACTTTCCCTTTATGGTCATAGACCAAATTCAATTCCAGGCCCATATAAAATTCTGAATTTCCAAAGAAACACAGAGACAAGAAATAATTTAATAGTTTAGTCAACTATCAATTAAATAACCTGATGTCAGCACACAATCAATGTGTGTGTGCATATATGTAAGGGTACACACACAAATGTATGACTATGTGTGGAAGTCATAGGACAACCTTGGGTTTCATTCCTCAGGCACCACCTCCGTTGTCTTTTGAGGCAGGGTCTCTCACCAACCTGGAACTGACTGACTAGGCGAGGCAGACTGGCCAGTGAGCCCCAAGGACATTCCTTATCAGTTCACGTTACAGATGCACCATCACATCCAGAGTGCGCGTGTGTGTGCGTGTGTGTGTGTGTGTGTGTGTGTGTGTGTGTGTGTGTGTATGTCAGGGCTCCATGCTTACTTGGCGAGTACATCACTCACAGCCATCTCTCTAGCCTACAGTGTTTTTTTTTTTTTAATTATTAAACTGTAGACATTCTTCTTACTCTCTGGAGTCTAAGGTGCATTTTGCCCTTACACTTCATCTCCATATCAGGTTAACGCAGGGCAGCCAAGGCAACTGGGCAACACACCTGCAGAACAGGGTCACATGTTACTCTAAATGGTGCCTAGCTCTTGCCCTGGGACAGCGAAGCTCTCTAGAATTCTTCATGGCAGTTTTATTGAAGTCCTCAAACCCCTCCTTAATAAATTGGGTGGGGACATTAGCGCCTCTCATGTTACAGAATCATCATTTGAAATCTTATAAAATTAAAATTTCTACTATCCTTTTTTCTTAAGGTATTTTTACCAAAAGATGAACTTATTTTCAAGATTAACTTGATCCCAACGGTAATACCTTAGATGTCACAAATCTGATACTTCGCATTTGTGAAGACAGATGATGTCCATCGAAGCAAATGTTGCACACGTGCAGAGAAGCTTGGGTTTGTGGATTTTTGTTTTCTCTTTTCAATCTGTTTTTAAGGGATGTATTCTATTATTTTATTTATTTGGTTTTTCAGGGCAGGGTTTCTCTGTGTAAGAACCTTGGTTGTTTTGAACCCACTCTATAGATCAGGCTGGGCTCAAACTCACAGAGATCCTCTTGCCTCTGTCTCCCGAGTGATAGGATTAAAGGTGTGTGCCACCACCACTTGGCATGTGTTGTTATTTTAAAATTACGTTTGTCTGTGTCTGTGTGGGAGTATATGTACATGAATATAGGTCATGGTGGAGGCCAGAAGAGTGTATTGGATCCCCTGAAGCTGGAGTTTCAGGGGTTGTGAGCCACCTAATGTGGATTCAGGGCCATTGCCAGGATAGTGTGCGATTTTAGCAACTGAGCCATCCCTCCAACTCCCTGCTTTCTTGCTGTCATTAATGAATCTGCATGCTGTCAACTTTTAGGAGTTTCTACATTTCATCTCACCCAACCTTAAATATATCACTGCCTGAATTCCCAACACCGAAGATACAGCTCTGCCTGTTGGTTTGGTGTTGGCACTGACTCAGCACCTTCTCCCTGGCGCCCTAGAACCACACAGAAGAGCATTTGTTCACTGATGTTCAGTCATCTGAAATCTACAGAAGCCAGGGGCAATACTGCACGTCCCGACATACAGGCACACACACACACACACACACACACACACACGTACAAACACGTGTATCCGCAATCACACACATATACAGATATCTATGTGCGTGTGTGTGTAGGAACATATGTGTCTATCATGGAAATCCTATGGAGGAGGAATGTTTTCTTTTTCTACTTTACCAAATGAGGGGCTGAAGTATGGTGAAGTCCCAGAGCTAGCAAGTAGTGATGTTCAAAGTGGTGCTGAATTTCTATGTGTGCTTGTGCATGTTTTATGTGCATAGGTGTGTCTTATACCAGGTCTTTTAAAATTAAAAGAGCAATGGACATACCACCCTGAATGAACCCAATCTTGTCTGATCTTAGAAGCTAAGCTGTGTCAGGCTCGTTAGTACTTGGATGGGAGACCTGGAAATACCAGGCACTGCAGACTTAACAAAACAAACAAATGAGAACACTTTACTTTGTGAAGGTTGGAGGTGGTGGCGCACGCCTTCAGTCCCAGAACTTGGGAGACAGAGACAGGCAGATCTCTGTGAGTTTGAGGCTAGTCTAGTCTACAAAGTGTGTTCCAGGACAGATAGGGCTACACAGAGAAATCCTGTTGCAAAAAAACCCATCATCATCATCATCATAAATTAATATTAATAGTTTTTGTGTTGAGTTATTAATTAAAGAAAATACGACAGACAAAACAACAACAAATCTGACTGCAAGATACGTCTTGGTAATAAAGGACTGGTCTAGCATTTGTGAGACCCTGAAAGAAAATGGAGACACCAAGGAGAGAGAAGTGGGGAGAAAGGAAGCAGGGGAGGAAGGAAGGAGAGAAGAAAAGAAGACAGAGGAGGAAGGGAAGGAAGATAAATGAGTAGATGGAAGATAGGTTAGTGGTTAGCTGGATGGATGGATGGATGGATGGATGGATGGATGGATGGACAGGGTGTGGATAGGTGCATGAATGGATGGATGGATGGATGGACGGATGGAAGTATGGGACACACTTTCAGCACAGTTGAAAGAACAGACAGATGGACAAATAGGTGAATGACTGATAGAAAAACAGACAAGAAGATATTCACTGCAGACTCCAGATCAGGGAACTGAGCAAATTATAAAGGCTACATGTCCCTGTAACTATCCCAGGGAAGACCTGTCACGTGACTGACAGGCAGTAGCTAATATCAAAGACAACTTGCATCTTTTTCTCAACATCAGAACAAAGACTGAGGGTAAGGCTTTCATTTAAGGCTCCTCCCATCTGGAAGAAGAATCCACTTACATATACTCTCTGTGAGCTGAGTGCACGGCGGCTGCGTTGCTGTAACGCCAGAGGACAATGGCCGAGGACAGCACATCCAGGATGGCGTCAAACTAGAGAAGGAGACAGGACAGGACATTAGTGGCTCTCCAGAGTCAGCAAGGCAAAACCATGAACACACAGGGGAACTACACAGTGACCCAGAGAGTTTGAATGAACATCTTGGAGTTTACATATTTCTATATGCGTCTTGCAGCCACTTTGAACTCCGTGGTGGAGCCCTGGGCATTACAAACTGCCCTGGTAGCAGAGCTGTGGCCCTTGTATGATTGACTCTGTTCTCAGAGCCCTTGGGTCCTGGCACTATGGAGATATGGGACAAGAGATAGGAATGGGAGGTACAATTTTCTGAGATACGTGAAACTGTTTATACTACAACAGACAAGATGGCATTGGCATTTTCCTATACATAGTAAATTTTAAAAAATAGTAAGTTAAAAAATTCTAATTCTGACTCTCGTTGAAACTGTTTTAGCTACGTTCAGGAAGTCTACCAACAGTTTGATATTGTATAGAAATCTCTATGCTTTAGAGAGAATGAGAGGGAGAGAGACAGACAGAGAGAGAGAAAGAGAGAGAGAAGGGTTTCTAAGTGTGTATATGTTATGTGTGTCTGGATATATATATATATATATGTATGTATGTATATATATATAGTGTGTGTGTGTGTGTGCGTGTGCACACACGTGATGTGTGTATCTATGCTCTGTATTTACTTCTGGATGATGTGTGCTTATGCTATGTGTGTTTCTATTTCTCTGTCTGTATGTGTTGTATATGTCTAACTATGTTTATATATTGTATATGTATCTCGCTGTCTGTATATGTGTTGTATATTTATTTCTGGATATGTGCACATGTTGTTTGCGTTCTGGGTACCAGTGTGTGCGTGTGTAACTTTCCAGACAGTTCACATCCTTCATAAAACTCTTAAAAGAATTTGTAACAGTCTCAGAGCAACACCCTCCAAACATTAAGCTTTTACAACAAAGGGCAGATGTGGGTCAGGGACCGGGTACAGGATGCCCCATGTCTGTCAACAAGGAGGTGAAAGAGCTTGCTGGAGACATCACACATCTCAATTCTTCGAACTATACTACTGCTGGCCCTCTCTAGAAGGGCTATGAAGAAATGACCTATTTTCACCAGGAGGCAGACAGAAAGCTCAGTTCCCCTTAGCAGGGCTATAGATAGACTGACTTCTATTGTGAGCAGCCTCAATCCATTTCAACTTCCAATGTCTCTTTCTACACCAGCACTATGCACCACCCCAGTGTCAGGATTACATGCAACTTGGAAGGGCACAGAGAGGCTAGGCTCCCCAAAACATCCTCTCAAGCAACTCCTTCAGAGAACATGTGCACCCTGGATGTATACGTGGGGACTATCCCATCTTGACGCCATTTAATTCAATTGCATTTTCATTTGCGCAGAAGCTGTTTTTCCTGAAGTTGGGCTTCCATGCCCATTTCCTATCTGTGAGGCAGAAGCACCCATCTATTCCACCACTGGGTGGGAGTCAGGGCTCGGGGAAACCGTGCAGAACTTCATCATGGTGAGAATGTTTCAGGCTACTTACTGCAAACCCAAAGGCAGAGGCGCTGTACCTCATGACGGAGACAGCTAGAAAGAAAGAAAACACCATTCAGATTTGACAGCCTCATGGTTTATGAGTTTCATTTGTGAGTTCGTCAGCACAGTGCATACAACCTTTGAACATCAGGGGGAAGTTCCCAGAGAATAAAATTTTCAAAACCAATGTCCAAAAATTCAAAGAATTCAAAAAGAAGAAAAAGAAATTATTTTCAAATTCTACCTGCAACACTTCCTTCTCCCACTGTGTTCTGAAGCATCCAAGGACCAACTTCAGGGAAAACAAAGTTAAGCACCTGTCAGTCACATGACTTCCGTGCCTTTGAAAATCCAGAAACTGAAAGCAGAGAGCTGGGAACTAAATTTCAGCAAAGCTGAAACCTGAATCCTCCTGCCTCAGCTTCCTCAGTTGCTAGGATCACAGGCCTGCACTATCAGGCCTGGTTGTATTTCTACTCTGAATCCATCTGCTCTAACTGACCTTGGTACAACGGGTGGGCACAGTTAACCCCCCCCCCCACACACACACACACATCGTGTGCTCCAGAAGGCCGCCTGATTGGCAGATGTTAAACTGTGACTTCAAAATGTCTGCACTTGAGTTCTTTGGTGATACCAGGGCTTTCCTTGGAGAGCCACAGATTTCAAAGGAATAGATTCCCAAGTTATTGCAGTGAGAAACATGAGGAGCCTCACCTCAGATTTGAGTTAAACAAATGCGGAGGGCTGGGTGCAGGGCTCAGTAGAGTAAATGCTTGCCTTGCAAATGTGAGAGCATGACTTTGACCCTTGGCTCCCAAGCCGCAAAAGGCAGGCGTGCTAATGAACTTGTAATCCTAGCCCTGGGGAAGTGGAGATGGGTGGACCTCTGGGGCTCGCTGTCAGGCCAACTTAGACCACTTGGTAACCCGTAAACCAGTAAGAGATCATTTCAAAAAACAGGTTTGGGGTTGATTAAAACCACTTGCTGTTTTTTCAGAGGACCAAAATTTAGTTCCTAGCACACATGCCAGGTGGTTCACAATCTCCTGTTACTTCCAGCTCTAGGGAATCTGACACCCACTCTTTGGGACAGATAAACATATATGCACCTACAGATAAAGAGAAATAATACAAGTGTATATATAGAGAGGTCACACCATCAAAGTTGTTTCTGGCCTATACATGTAATCGTGTTTGCATACATATATATGCAGGTATATTCAAATACAAGCATACACACAAGTGTACACACACACACACACACACACACACACGCACACACCATGCACAGGAGATAACCACCAAGGGGAGGTTTCTCTGACTCCATGGAGTCCAATGCCATGTTTCACTCTCAGAACTAGACTGGAAAGTGAGTTAAGCCTGCCAGGTGGACAGATGAAGGCTAGCAAATACGGCCTATCATTATTATTCATGCCCTGTGCGGTAGGGCACTGTGAGCCAGTGGGGTCCTAGTGAACTCAGGGTCCTACAGAGAGATGTGTTATTTACTCAGGACTCGCCTTCATCTAATTCCTTGATAAGATGCAAAAAGCCAAAAGCCAAAATTGCATGGAGAGTCAAGAGTCCTCTGAAGGGTCGCCCACATCTCTACGCTAGCTGCTCCCCCTGTGGCCAGCTCTCAGGTCTTGCTGTTAGACAGCTGTGAACAGTCATTAGCCCAAGCCCCTCGTGGAAGAGCTCAGTAGCCTCCGAGGACTTTCCAAGAGAGTCAAGGAAGAAGTTCATTTTCTTTGGCCCATAACTGAATCATAGCACATCCTGAATCCAGGATAAGAATTACTTCAACAGAAGTGGGTCGATAGGCTTAGGTGGCCCTGTTTCCGTGTAAATAAAAATCACACTAAGGAGATTTCTTTCTTTTCTTGTATGTGTGTATGTATGTGTGTACATGAGCATGTGTGTAGAGACTGGAGGTAAAACCCCAGTGTTATTTTTCAAGAGCTGTCCACCCCAGTGTTTGTTTCTTTGGTTGGTTTTTGTTTGTTTGTTTGTTTATTGTTTTTTGAGACAAGGTTTCTCTGTGTAGCCCTGGCTGTCTTGGAACTCACTCTATAGACCAGGCTGCCCTTGAACTCAGAGATCTGCCTGCTTCTTCCTCATGAGTGCTAAGATTAAAGGTGTATGCCACTGCTGCCACCAGACCCACCTCATTTTACAAAACCCACCTCGTATTACAAAACAAGGTCTCTCATTAGTCTGAAACTTGCCAAAGAGGCTAGGTTGGCTGGCCAGCAAGTCCCAGAGATCTTCCTGTCTCTGTCTCCCCAACACTAAGAGTACAGTAACCCAACTCTCTTCTTGCAGTTCTGGGGATCAAGTTTAGTTCCTCTTGCTTGGAGAATCAGCACTTGACAACCTGGAGTCATCTTCGCAACCACTAAACTGAAGGGTTTTCATTGAGGCATTTCCAACCTCGCTCATGCAAGAATGAGTTGTGTCTGGAGAACAGGCCTGTACCAGGGTGGCAGATGGAGGCAGAGAGAGGTCCAAAGCACTCTGTGCACACATGGGCAAGCACAGCCCAGAGTCACCATAGGGCCAAGATGCTGCCTGTAAGGTAGGAACTAGACTCAGTTGTGAAGAACACACATGGGCCATGTCAGCCTCAGCCACACTGCACCCTGAAAGCCCATGCAAGCAGCTGTGAAGCAGGGCTCTCCTATGAGGACAGCTCTTAGCAAGGTCGGAACATAGAGCTGAAGGGAATCGGAACTCTAAGATGCCACTTTTCTGAGTCATCACCCATGCTGGGGCAGACTTTTGAGAGATGTAGTTGCCTTTGACTCATGAATGTTCTCTGAAGTAACCCCAACCAATTCATTGTTTCACCAGGGTGGACTTGGGTGGAATCACTTCTTTGTCTGTTATTGGTCTCTCAAATGCTAATAGTTGCTAACCTATGAAGGACAGGAATATTTAAGGGTTTTTCCCCCCTACTTTTCTGTGCTTTCTATAGCTTTCATAAGTAACCATTCAAATTATATTATACACTTTATTTGGGGGGAAACTATCCTATAAAGATGAGAACAGGTCTAAAATGAGCTAGCAGGAGAGTTCAAATACATCTCTAGAAACAGAAAACACTGCTTGCGAATGCTTCAGGCTGATAGGAAAGTACATGGCTATTATGCATTATTACATGTAGGTTTCTGGGTCCCATGGTCTACACGAGCAGGTTGCTAATAGTTCAAAATTCCCAGGAGTGTAGCTGTGGGCCACATAAGCCAGGCGACAAAACGCTAGCAGAACATAGCTCCTTGCCCTACAGACCTCCAGCCTCTCAGAGTTTGTCTGTCCTAAGGCAGACTGTCATCTATGGTCAGGGACTCACTAATAGCTACACCCAGAAGCAGGCACACAATGTAAGTCTTAAATAAATATTTGTACAGGCCTGGTTAGAAGACCAGTTTTTTGTTTTTATTGTTTTTTAACTAAGTCAAACCATACCAAAAAACATGTTGGCTGGAAATAAATTCAAGCAGAAAGGCAGCTGGAAAACGAACCAGACCCAGGAGATCCATTGTTAAGGCCATGCCAAAGGCAGACCTGCAGCTGAGCAAGCACGGGCTTGGAGGGAGGGTCTGCAAAGCAGAGACAAAGGGCCTTGGAAAGCGGAAGAGAGCATGCCAGCAAGGCATGCCAAGGACCAACAGCAAGACCCCCCGGCACGACACCCAACAAAGACTCCTTCTTCAATTGCCAGTGAGATTTACAGAGACAATGAGGACCCATCTGTCATCCTCTCCAAAGTCGGGCAATAATTATCTTGAGCCTTAGCACTCTTTAGCAATACCCCAGGCCCCGCAACACCTCGGAGTTGTCAAATTATGTGAGCAGTAGAACTCCGTTAATAAATCAATTCCAGTTTAATTAGACTGTTTCTATCACTCAGACGCCTAGCAAACACCTCCCCCACAGCTGGGGAACAAGCCCACCCTGGAGAGTCACTTCTCCACCACCCACCATCAGAGGCAGGCTCTCCGCTCTTGCTCACTGGAACCTGGGAACCAAAGAGCTGGGGCCAAGAGCAGGTTAAAAAGAAACGTTGGTTTTCTATGTTCTAACTCACTCCAACAGAATCTCTACTGGTTTCCATACTCTAAATAAGATTAGCAGCTGCAGCAAAATTAGTGATAGGATTCTTACTTCAGGGGAAAGAGGAAAACTGCTTAACACATTCTTAAGAATATGATCAACATATGTTGTATAGAATTCTCAAAGGAAAAAAAGAATAAGTCACCATTGTGTAGAGCTGGGGAGAGGGATCAGTTGATACAGTGCTTGAAACAAGAACAGGAAGACCTACATTCAATGCCCAGAATCCACCCTATAAAAGGGCTGAGTATGGTCCATGGTGTATTCTTGCAATCCCAACATTGGAGAGGGGAAGATCAGCGAACCCTTGGAGCTCACTGGTCAGCCAGCCTGGCTTATTTGGCAAGCTCTAGGCTAGTGAGAGACCCTATCTCAAGAAACAATGGGAATGGTACCTGAGAAGCAACATCTGAGGCTGACTTCTGATCTCCACACACATGTGCACACATGTATATCCACACTCACAAACACACATAAGCGCGCAGACATACACACATATACTACACATACGTAAACGTGAGCACACACATGAGAATACGCTTGAAGAGGTTGCTGAACGCTGCCCTTAAGCTGCTGTGTCATTTGATAGCATCTTTTGTCATTCTGCAAAGAGAGATCCAGTGCCACTCAGGTGTCTCAAAAGAAACAGCTGCCGAGATGCTTCCTAAGCAGCTGGTGTCTCTCCTTTCTGCAACCATTTGCAGCACACAGCCAGATTGCTCTACACAGCTCACTCCATCCTCATTCTGATGTCCTCCTGAACCGGCCGGCCCTGCCCACTCCTCTCCAGGCACACAGGGCTCTCTGCTGCTTTACCCCAGCCTTCCTCTTCTGCCCACAATGCCTACCCAAGGGATCCAACTAACTGACCCATCATTTTTTGGGCCTTTGCTTCAAGTTCCCCTCATCGGCCTGTCCTAGCTTTCCTATCT